TTCAATTCTAAGCTCTTTGAGGCAAGAAAACCATCTCTTAGGGCTTGTGTTCACTACTATAGAGATGGACTCTTCTGCAGTCGATACATTAGAAGTCAGTTTAGTGGGTCTAGTGAAGACGCACTAAATCTCTGGGACCATACTCTCCAGGTTACACCAGTACTCCTACTCTCCAAGAAAAGAAAAGTAGGTCAACCAGACAGCATTTCCCAATGAAGCAGTTCTCGCCATAGCAGAAAACGATAAGTTGACCTAAGGTATGTCCATTTCAGCTACGTTATTCACATGGTGGTGAACACAAACCCCTATTATGTTTTGCTCAGCTACTCTGTTGTTGCTCTGTTCCAAATAATCAAAAACCTGGAACTCTATCAGCAAATATCTAAAGGAACACAACATTTTAATGCTTTGGGGCAAAATGAATAAATGACTAACAGGTTTGAGTAATGTTATCCCATAAATAAGAAGAAAGGAGCTTAAGTAGGTACAATGCATGAGTGAGTCACTCTGCAAACATCCAATAGTGAAAATACAAAGAACTTAACTTTACAATAGCTGCACCATACAAAGGTGTCAAAGCCTGCCAGCTATGGAAATAGTTAGTCAATAACAATTTCCCCCAGACATCTGGTGTTGTCACTTGTGATTTTTACTGAAGATTCCCCCTCAGTTAGCACAGATTTGTTTTTTAATTGCCCTGCACTGCACCTGCCACGTTCCGATTCCCTGTCCTTGGAAGCATTAGGTGGATATTGGGGGCGGGGTATGTGTTACTCTTAAGACATTACATGAAGGGCATGCACAGCAACAATTAACGTTTAAAAGACAAGACTAATGTGCACTGGCATGAAGTGATGAGGTAAAAGAATGGAATCTGGGGAGTAACTAATGAAGAGGATTAATTAGCCATAGCAGAAAGATCATTAGGGGGGCTACTCCAAAGCCCAGTGAACTTAATGGAAAGACTGCTGTGGATGTCAGTGAACTCTGAATCAAGCTGAAAGTTTTTAGGAATGAAAAAGTCAAAGATGAGAATATATTTTAACAAGGCTTATTTTTAAATGATACTCAGAAAAGAGTACATTGGAGATAAATTGTAAGCAGGTGGACAGGACTACTGTTTACAGGCCGGCAACACAGCAGGATGGCGAGGCCAATTAGCCAACAGGTGTGCAGGGAGACAGGCCTTGTAATTAGTTCCTGCATCATTTGACCTTAACTCAACAACTTGGCATTCCACTTCTATTTTGTTGAAGAAAAGAAACTGAGCTGAGAAATCTACTCATTCTCCTTTGATATTTACATGTGCAAAATATTATTTATTCTTTATATTACAGTAACGTGCATGTGCCCCAAGAAGATCAGGCTCTCATTGTGCTAGGCACTGTACAAACACATAGTCCCTGCTGTAGAGAGGTTACATTTGAGTAAATAGAACATAGGGTAAAAAGGGAACTAGAGACACAGGAAAGGTAAATCACCTGCCTAACATCACACAGAAAAGCTGGGCCTATTACCCAGGTCTCCAGACTCCTTGTTCAGTGCTAACACCATCTTTATGCTTAGCATTAAGCTGCAGTCTTATTAGCTTCTGCAAATTATGTACAATGTGCAATGAAGCTCCTATGAAAACTCAGTCCTGTGCTTCCTGGTGGATTTTTCCTTGCCACAGAGGCTCACAGCAGCCCACAGTTTTAGGCACCACACCCAGGGCTTTTGTTTGCTGTATGTATGGGAAATGCAGTGTATATGGGGAGTTGGGGGGAACCCGGGCCCACCCTCTACTCCAGGTTCCAGCCCAGGCCCCTGGGCTACTTCCTTACACCTTCCCCAGCATCTTCCTTCTCCATGGTCCGTCCTCCTAGTGTTCAGCTGTTGTCTCTTTTCCACCTCTTGCAGCGGCGCCCTCCTCCATCCTCTCAGCTACACACGTGCCCAACTGTAGGCAAAGGTTCTTTTATAGCCAGTCTGAACAGGTTTTTATAACTGCCCCGAGGTGTCCTAATAGCCTAGGCTGGGCTGACTCTGTAGGGCTGGTCAATTAGCCCCAGGTGTTTCACTGCCCCGATTGCCTCTGCCGGTTCTAAATAAAAATAATTAGTCTATACACTTTGATACCACTTTTCATTCAAAGAAATGGAACCTTAACAAGTTAATAACAAAGTTTCATAAGTAATGTTTCGTCTTTGATGTAGGTCATGTTATGCCCATTATACAAATGGGTAAATTTGTCGGAGCGCCAAAGAAGGTGTAAGCCCATGAATGAGCCTGGAACAGAAATCAGAGCCTAAGCCACATGACATAACGACTGTAAATCATATGTCCTATATGCTATTTATTATAGGGCCATTGTTAAATACTAAACATGTCTAGGACCTGCAGTAACTGTGAATGACTGGGCATGTACCTACTGTTTCTTTCTACATTTAAAAGTTTGGGATCTCATAGAACTGGAAGGGACCTTAAGAGGTCATCAAGGCCAGTCCCCTGCCCTCACGGCAGGACCATCAGACCATTCCTTATCCCAGTGGTCCCCAACGCGGTGCCCGCGGGCACCATGGCGCCCTCTGGAGCATTTATGTGCGCCTGCTGAGTAACCAGGGCTGGCCCAAGCCATTCTTGCACCCTGAGCCCCGGGCGCGTGGCACGTGCGCAGCTCCTGCCCCAGGCGTGCAGCGTGTGTGTGGCCCCGCCCCCGGGCACGCGGCGCATGCGTGGCCCCGCCCCTGGACACCCGGCAGCCCCGAAAGGTTGGGGACCACTGCCTTATCCTATTACCCTAATCCTCTCCTTTTTGGCATCACTATGCTCCCTATCTCAATCTATCCAAATTATTGCAGTTAAAATGATCTTGTCATGTGATCGTATCCACGGCAATACTAGCTAGGTACGCCTATACTGTCTTTCTGTTTCTGCATTAAAGTCATGCTTTCTCCTCTCACTGCTTTAATGCAACTCCATCCATTAATATTTCCCTGTCTTTTTCATCCCTCCTTACAATAGGCACTACCCAATTCTCTCCTTTTGGCGTCTGCTGTTTACCCGACTACTCTGCATTTTTTGTGTTCTGCCATTAACACCTGTGCAAGTCTATAAATGCAAGCAGATTGGAGCCACAGATTTTTATGGCCAGCTATAAATGACCACATCAGAAACAAATCAAGCCTTGTCTTTTCTTTTTCTGCTCTTGCTGTATGCATGTCAGCAAGTCACCTTTTATGCTTAGAACAGCTTCTGTCTTCCATGCATCTGGTGGCCAGTTTCATCTATTTCAAAATCATAACCAAGTGCCTTCCCTTAAGTACTATGTTGGTGTAGTGTATTCCTCTCCTAGCACCTAGTCTTAAAATGTTTATTTTCCCTTATCTGGAGGCAATAGCAGATGGGGTACATTTATGCAAGGTTCTGTGTTCCCCTCCCATGCTTTTTTCTTCTTCGGTTCTTTGGAATAGGGACTGCTTCTTTTTATGTGTTTGTACAATACCTAGCATGATCAGTCCTTGAAATGCCTAATTAGTAGTAATAGCAGCTATTTTCAGAATGATTTCATGTGATTTACCCTGATGAAAGATACAATAATGGAAAAAAAATATTTTTTTTGCCTGATCAGTTAAAATAATCAAGCTGATTGTGTCCTTTAAAATAACAACCTAGCCTGGTATTAGCTAGATATCTTACCTTTAGAAAAGCTAACACTGTGTAGTGTTACAGTATGTCTTCACTGGTAATGTTGGTAAAACAGACTAACTAATTTTAATTACCTTTCATTGGGGTAAATCACAATTAGTCCGCAAACAGCTGCTATTGCTACCAATTATGCATTTTATATTCTCAACCAGAGAAGAACCAGTACCAGAAAAGCCAGAAGCAACAATAAATAAACCTTTGAATCAGTCTTTGCTATGCCTGAATAATAGGGTACAGAGCAGCCATGACCTGGGGAAAGACTTGAACTTTGTCACCCTAGGTCTTGAAGCAATTATGACATACAACAAGGTCTGATTAACACATAATACTCATCATCACTTCATCCGAAGGATCAAATTTCCTTCCAGGACCTCACTGTTTGCCTAGTGGTAACACTGTCTTAGAGCACAAAAGATTTGCTGCTGTCCTTCACAAGAGGCATTTAAACTGATATGCGTTCTGCCTCTTTTTTTCTTATCCTTCAACTAAACAAGGTGTAATACTAAAAGCCATGTATGTGATGTTGCTGAAATCATAATTGCAGCCAAATTAAACTACTGCAGCCAAATAGAACTATGTATGTCCTTTGAGATACCTTGAGCTAGAAACAAGTTCTTATTTTAATTCTGTAGTTACACAAAGGACCAGATATTCAGCTGATGTAAGTCAGTGTAACTTAACTAAAGTCAACTTTCTCTGATTTACATCAGTTGATGATCTGATCCCGTTAAACATTTAAAATGCAGCTTTGGGAATACATTTTGTAAGCACACACAAAAAAAAGTGAAGTATCCAGACCTGAAGAGCTCAAACCTATTTCAAAAGACAGTAAAATCTCATCTTGATTCAGAAATAATTTAAAGCTGTTCAGCTTGAAAGTCCTCAGTTCTTACTCTGTACCGGGCAATAAAACAAATCTGCAAAGCGCTTTTAATAATTCCTCCCTGTAGATTGCACATGACTTTTGAATGGGTAGGTTTTGATTGTACAAAACCACTGAGAATAGGAATGTTAATTCCTGAGGAGTGTGATCACAATGGGAAAGGAAATCTACATTGAAAAGGCGATTAAAGAAATAAAGAGAAAGGATAAAGTGAAAAATGGAATGAATATAAAGTAGCCTGAATTATATATAGTCAGGTTTTGTTCTGATTCCAGAGAAATACCAAGTATCCTTGTTAAATGTAACAAGGAAATACTTTAAATCTAGAATTCATTGCAAACAACAAAAATCTTGACAATATCCAAAAGCTGGCTACTTTTACCAGTAATCAGTAAGAGATTCTGTCATCTTTTTTTTTTTTTTTGTGCAGTGTGAAAAACACCATCAATTGCGCATGAATAAATATTCAGGTAGCAGAATTCAACTTACAGAGTAACCACAATAGACCTTAATAAATTGTATTTTCCTGAAAAAGAAGAGTACACAAGAGTTGTATACACAGGAGTCGATTGGGGGTGCAGTATATAGAAGAGCGACATAGTGGTTTAACAAAGAAAATGGTGAAGTTGAAGCAACAAAGAACAAGGGATCAAATCTCAGCTAGGGGAAAACTGGAACAGCATCATAGACTTTCAGGTGAGGCTCTGTCCCAAAATGTGTAGCCTAAGAAGTCTCATGAGTCCTGGATTTGTTCAGCTGCAAGAATATGATGATCTATGAGGTGAACCACTACTTGTGATTGGTGAACACTCAGGCAGAGCAGTGAGAGGAGAGCTGAAGACTTGATTATGGAGCAGAGAGTGGAGAAGAAGACTGACATCATGTCATCAACTGAGAAGAGGGAGGTGGGAGAAAGGGTGTGAAAGCAGAATTGGTATCAGATGTACTCCAGGACAGCACTTGCATTTGTTTTCCTCTGATACTTTATTCTTGTCTGAACTGAGCCACATGGTGTCACTGACCTCAAATTACTTTTCCACCAAGGAAACTCAGTTGTACTCAACTTTTCCAGAAGCAGCTTCCATATCCGTAGCAGTCAAAGGGTATGTGTGTTGGGTGGGCAGGACTTATCTTTTATATGCAGTGCAGAGGGAACACTATATTACAGCCAAATGAATCTCGCATGAAAAGGTAAGGGTACGTCTAAACTACATGGCTCCGTCGACGGAGCCGTGTAGATTTGTTGTTTTGGCAAAGTCAAATGTAGCCGCGATTTAAATGATCATGAGGAATAACGGGGCTGCCGACAAAGGGCTTTGATGTCGGCAGGGGAGCGTCCAGATTATTGCGCTGAGCGGACAAACAGCTGATCAGCTGTTTGTCCGCTCAGCGCAATAATCTGGACGCTCCCCTGCCGACATCAAAGCCCTTTGTCGGCAGCCCCGTTATTCCTCATGATCATTTAAATCGCGGCTACATTTGACTTTGCCAAAACAACAAATCTACACGGCTCCGTCGACGGAGCCATGTAGTTTAGACGTACCCTTACCTGCTTGCTGAGTAAATCCATGTTTTGGTATCTCAATTAAATTAATGATTTATTTAAATAGATGAACATCTGCCTTAAATGCTTTGTTGCATAGAAATGACAAAGAACTGTGGAAAAAAATACCACTCACTCTATACAACCCAACATCTTGAGCATTTTCTAGGCTTCTATGTACATTCAGAAGAACAAATGACACTACATTTGAGACAATTTGCTACTCATCAACTTTGTGTCAAGATCAAAGCTTAATTGACTAGACTTTGTGAAGTTCCTTATAAAATACTCTCTAATGTTACTTTAAACAAGTATTTATTCCAGATTCAGTTCATATAACCTGTAACTGTGGAGTTTGTGCAAATTGTAAGATCTTTTTCTTTGTTCATTTCTAGCCTTTACTATTACTACACCTTTACAGTGCCCTGAGGAGTCAAAGAGGCTGAGTCTCAGGTAGGATCATTTATTTCAACTGTTAGCTTTCTTTTCAAATGGCCTATAATGAGAAACCTGTACATTTTTACAACTGCAACAGGCATCTCTGTAACCTGTTTATAACACTGAATGGAAAGATTCTTCCACATACTATACATAAAAACATAATTAAACCATATGACCAACACCGTGATACTAAAGTTGCATACCCCAGTGTTTATATATGTTACAACCACAAGGCACTTAGTTTTCACTGAACTTAAAATATATAATTAATCTACTATTGTACAAATAGAGATTTAGGTCATTTTTGTGACTCAGATCCTTGCTGTAAAAAACATAAGAAAAGACAGGCCATGCCCTAAGGAACTTAAGGTAAACTCAAAAGATTTCAGTAAAAAATATAAATGTAAACTGGAAATATAGATCTGGAGAAGTCCCCAGGAGCTTAATATGGACTTACTGTAGATCAGATCTGTTTCTCAAAGTCATGCAGTATTTGGTGTTCTCGAACAATATAGACTAAGATTCATCAATCATTAGCGTCTTGTTTTCAATTCTTTTCTTTCTGTTTTCTCTCTTTGCATTCTCCAGTATATATATTTTGTACTAGACATTATGTAACTGTAGCTTTCATATTCTGTATTAACTGCAGCCCATATATTTTGTGCCATCCTAAGGAAAAAAATGTGTCAGCATCTCTTGGCCTGTTTATAGGACACTGTATTATCATACATTTTTGGGAAACAATCAGAAATAAAAATTCAGGTTAGATGTGTTTTTAAAACACTAAAACAGAATTTAGAGAAATTTTAAATCATGCTAAATAGTCGAGAGCATTTTGTAATTAAATTCCGTGGATAGGTCATTTTATTTATTTTTATTTCATTTAATTGTGTTTACAGCATAAGCTTTTTGGAGCAGAGATAATGCTTTTGTCCATGTTATAGGCTGCTATGCACTACCACAATCCTTATATGAATAAATAAATAAATAAATAAATAAATACATAAACAAACAAATAAATAAATAATAATTTATAGTCCTTGTTAATTGTATTAATAATAACAACTGTAAACAAAATGAAAAATAAGCTCTATTTATAAGAGGTGAACAAAGAAATGTTTCCCTCTTTTTGACAGGCTTTCTTTGCCAGTAAAAGTTAAGAAAGAGTTGATTCTCATTTCAAGAAGTTTGAAAACACTGTCCTTTGTACACATCCTTTACCTTCTTCTCAAAAGTGTCATTGAGTCAATGCTACCAGAACAACTTGTAATACAAAAACATTGTAATATTCCCCCAAAAAAGTGAAGTCAAGCCTCAAGTAGTTGATTTTCTATGTCATAGCCCACCAGATGGGACAGTCCAGCACTACACTTTAAGGAGTGTAGGTTTTACAATTTATGGTTAAGTCATTGAAAATATTTCTGTTTAAATCAAAGATCTGCTCACATAAATAATTGTTCCACAATCTCCCCCTTTGAATTTAAATAGGTATGTTACACTACATAGAACTAGACAGTTCACATACAAACAAAGCACTCTTTTTCCCTGCATGTAGTTGACAAGTACAGAGAAAGCATGAGATTTAGCAAGAAAATCTGGAGGAAGAGTGAGTGCTAAGTGACAGAGTAAACCTTTGGGAAAGTGGCTAATCAAACCAATACCATGTGTGAGTCAATATAGCAGCTGTGATGACACACAGAAAGGGCCTTGCTATCTAGTCTAAATCAAATGTCTTATCAATCAGGGAAGCTGTGAGTAGCTATGGCCGTCAAAAAGCTATAGAGTAGGTCTTCAGCTTAAAGGAACTGGAAGTTAGAAGTATCTGGCTGGCACCTGAGTGGAGTGACAGATTGCTGAGAGATCACAGGTCTCCTTTAAAAACTAATTTATTTTCATGTAATGCAATAACACACAGAGTACGAAGCCATTCATTCTTGAGAACAGGCTTTATTTTATTGAAAACCTAATTTTTGGCAGAAGTTTAAACCTCTGAATGACTTTTATCCAGTATGTATTCTGATTAACTAATGGGCATAGTATTCTTTGAATGATACATTGCATACTCTATTGTGCAAACTTAAAAAACAACCAATACTCTTGCAGCAACTTAGAGACTAATAAAACATGTAGATGGTTTCATGAGCTTTTGTGGGCACAGCCCACTTCTTCAGCTGAATGGAGTTATTAAAGGTCCAGTTTTTAAATAAATAGGGAATGGGGGGCTAGGAGAAGAAAAAAAGAGGAAAAAGGGGAAAGAAATAGTCAATTAGAGTCAATTAGATAGGACAGGCCAATCCTCCTCTACTGACAACCTTCTAACCTCAAACCAATTCTTTCCAGTAACCACACAACACACCTCCATCACAATCATCCAGGAACTCACCCCTGTAATCAGCCCCAGTGCCAACCTGTCCACACATCTACACAAGCAATTTCATCACTGGACCCAACAACATCAGGCACCACATCAGGGGCTCATTTAACTGGACATCCACTAATGTGATCGATGCCATCAAATGCCAGCAATGCCCCACTGCCAAGTATACTGGCCAAACTGGACAGTCTCTATGGGAAAATATTAATGGACACAAATCAGATATCCAAAAAGGCAATACACGGAAACCTGCTGGGGAACATTTTAACTTGCCAGGGCACTCATTAATGGCTCTCAAAGTCACCATATTGTTTCAGGACAATTTCACAAGCCAACGCCACAGGAAAGCCTTAGAACTTAACTTCATTTACAAGTTTGATTCTTATAACAGAGGTATGAATAAAGACATTGGCTGGTTGGCCTGCTACCTTCCATGTCCTAATAACATGAGAAACCAAACAATGGGTACTTAAGAATAATTAATACCTTCTCTATCAGCTTCATGTAGCATGGACACTTTAACTGACTATTTCTTTCCCTGTTTTTTCTCCCCCCCCCTTTTTCCTTCTCCCCCCTCCCTATCCCCTCCCCTATTTATTTAGATACTGGACCTTTAATAACTCCATTCTTCTGAAGAAGTGGGTTGTGCCCACAAAAACTCATGATACCATCTACATGTTTTGTTAGACTCTAAGGAGCTGCAAGACTGTTCGTTATTTTTTAATTTTTTCCAGATATAAACTAATTCAGCTTCCCCTCTGATTCTATTGTATAAATTGCTCTGTAAAACCCTTTATACATAGACTATGGTATAATCTGGCTATTTTTCCTGTTTCTAAGGCTTTGGGTATATCAATGCTTTTTTTCCCCTCCCTAGTTGGGCTTTAATATAGTTGGGAGATATGTGTGTGTTTTACAGCCATACCAACATCAATTGCAACCTATTGTGACGGGGTTCCTGGTGTGCAACCAGAACTGCGGGACCACTGAGCATTTTGTCTCACCATCCTGGGGAATCGCTCTCACACTGTGATGCTGTGATGAGCGGCAAACCTCTGGCAGGTATTGCACTTTCATCAACATGCATAGAAAGGATGCACCCAACTGAGTTACAGGAGTAGCAATAGAGAGGCTCCAGCCAATTCCGTCCCGCACCTCTTCAGTCTTGCACCAACACAATGTATTGTCATGCCCTGATCACAAGCCTTGCCAGCTTATTACCCCTTATTATTTATTACTCAGCCCACCCTCCCTCCATGTGGAAAGGACACACACAGCCTTTGTAACCTGAGCTGAGATTTTACAAAGCATTTCAACCCAGACTCCCTGTTTTAGGTAAAACAGTAACTACAGACAGATTGTAACTGATTATAAGCAGTGAGTGTAGACATCAGAGTTGCTTACCTAAGAAATAAATGTAAATCTGAGTTCTGCAAACTTAACAGCTTTTGAATCAAACAGGGCCACCTCCTGATAGGTCACAGATCTTCAATATGCAGGCTAGAATTCTCTACGTGCTAGGCCCACCCTCCCCAGTTGAAAGTTTTTGTCCTCCGGACATGTTTCCAACTGCTGAACTGTGAGTGCAGGGAGAGGCCAAGTCATGATGTCACTTCCCTTTTTTTCATAGATTCTCCTGGCTTGCTGCAAAGATTCATACTTGTGACATGGAGCTCTACCCCCATTGATCAAACATTTTTTCATTGTCTAAGTGCTCTCTCTGGGTACGTCTAGACTATAAGCCTCTTTCGAAAGAGGCTTTTTTGAAAGAATCTTTTGAAAAAGCCTCTTTCAATAGAGAGCGTCTAGACTGCAACCACTTCTTTAAAAAAGCAAGCCACTTTTTCAAAAGAGAGCACCCAGGCAGTCTGGATGCTCTCTTTTGAAAAAGCACTGTTTGCTTTCAATAACGCCTTTTTTCCGAAAGAGCACTTTTGAAAAAAGGCATTATTCCTCGTAAAATGAGGTCTTCTGCAGTCGAAAAAACAGCCACAGTCTTTCAATTTAATTTTGAAAGTACGTGGCAGCAGTCTAGATGCAGGTGAAACTTTTTCGAAAAAAGGCCACTTTTTTCGAAAAAATCCTGTTGTCTAGATACATCCTCTGAGAAGTCTCCTAGCATGGCTATCAGGAAAATGAATTCCCTTTAATGGACCATCTGCCCAGCTGAATACTCCACTGTGGTACCTGAAAGGCTGGTTGTGGTTATTTCCACCCTCACGGCATATTTCACTCACACACACATTACAACACTGGATAACTTCATATACAGTGATTGCATATACATTCCAGCAGGATATTAACATTTAACAGATCAAGACTTTTAAAGTGCTACCTCACAAGGTATACATTGTACAAAGTGTGTCATAATTATATTACAGTGGTGAATGTGGGGACTACAGGGGGCTGCTTTGACGTACAGTGTGTCATATATATATTATCCACTTTGCTTCACTGTGGTTCAACTCTGAGCAGTACAGTTTGTTTCTCTGGGGGGTAGGATATACATATAGCATGTGTATAGCTTCAGTTCTCTAACTGGATACCAGCATTGCCGGTTGTAACTTGATTAACTATCTCGTAGAAGCTAGACTGAAGCTACTCGTTCGCGCTCTAAAAACTGCCTTCCAAATTGTCT